TCAGCCAGAAGACCATGTTTGACAATTGCCTTCTACAAAGGAAACCAAGAAGATCAGTTCTGTTCTGAAAACTATCAATAATTGTTACTTATCACAGGTAACTTCAGTTCCATATATCAATGTCATCTATATATTGCATTCTCCAGATAGAAGCTGTGCCTTTCTAATCACAGATGGAATGATAAAGCCCAAAAGACGCAAAGAATTAATAGCATTCTGAGACATGTTAATGTTGTGAGAAAATAGCTTTTACGATTTGTTTTCTTTTTAAAAAATTATTGGGCAGCTTTTGGAAAGGTTTCCCGATATCCTCATTTAAACATTTCTCCTAAAGTTAACTACAGGGAAGACCTGTGGAGCCAAGTCTCTTTCAACTTCAGACAATAGTCAAAGCAACACCTTCCTTTCAATGTTTCCAAGAGCTTATAGCTTCCTGCTGGAATTCTTCCTGAAATGTCTGGAAGATCCTTTGGTGGGAGTGAAGCTCAAGAGGTCTGATCATATCTAAGAAGGATAACATAGGACACCTAAAAGAAATGAGATAACGTAAGCGTATACCTACTTACTATTAAGTCATATATTAGTTTATCACCCTGTGATATTCCCTTTAAAAAGTATAATATCTTCTCCATGAGGTCCTACAAGAAAAGAGAAAAATCGTTATCCTCTTTTATGGATTCCTTCGTAACTATGCTGTGCCAGTACGTGATATGAGCATCTTGGTGGGCCATTGCTGTTCATTAAACTGGGGAGGGTCATGGAGGATATTGATGTGAAGGACCTCACATCAGCAGGGAAAGTACATAAAGCCACATCAACTCTTTGAGGTAGGCAAGGTCAAAGAAAGCCATGGCTGAGACTCCAGGAATGCCATTATATTGTCGTCAGTTTTAACCGCAGAATCTTATATCCCATCCAAAGCCTTCATTACTTCTTTCTAAGGACAAGAAAATCAATCTGGGGCTAGTCTGACTCCCTTTCTCACCCCTTCTACTTACACAGAGCGGAACAACCATTTTCTTCTCCTTCCCTATCTCAAGGCCAGAGCTACATTTCCCTAGAAGCCATAACCCAGCCGGAATATTAAAACCCTCTTTGACCAGTCAGTCTTCCATTTGGGTGTAATTTTGACTTCGTAGTTGAGTTGAAATCATTTCACATTTTGCAGAGAGAAAAACAACAAGTCGAGAAAAGAAATTTCGTAGGGACCCTTCCAATGTGAAACATTTCTCCTGGGGATAATTTCCATAGGGCCTAGATGACACGTACAGCAAAGCAAAGAGGTATTAGGGTTTGGAGCCAGAGTTATATGGTTATAACAGCTATAACTCCCAGAAGTCCCCAGCTACATGCTGGCTGGGGACTTCTGGGAATTGAAAGTGCGCACGTATTGAAGTTGCCAAGATTTAGAATCACCGACACTACTAATGGCAGCAACAACAACAACAATAATGAACAATCGCACTAACCCTTCATCATTTTAGGGCTTTACAGCAGTGCAATGGTGGGCGCGTTTTAAGGAGTAAAACAGCGCCTGAAACTGCTTTATCAAAACTGGCCCAAGATTTAGCCTTGACTTCTTTTTTTCTTGAGGCTCTGGGGACAATGGTGATGGTTGCTGGGGTACTTCATCACATGGAAGGAGCGTATTTCAGAAGGAAAGAACGGAGGAACAAAGGTATTTACCACAAAATCAGCCATTTGACACTCATCTTCCATACAATTCTGCAAATAAAAGAGATTGCTTTTATTCTAACATGAAATCACATATGACTTCTCTAACCTGGCTTAGGACAGTTCTGTAGAAAACCACATTCCAGTTTGTGGCAAAACCAGCCCTAATGACTGAGCCATTTATTGACAACTATCACAAAAAAAGGTCATAAAACCAGGTCAGTCACGTGGGTGGTTATCACAACTTATGCCCCTTTTGGGCAGGCTATATTGAGGTCATAACTCAAGCTCTATTTGTACAGTATGTGATCCTAGGACAAAGGAATAACATGGCAACTGCATCAGCACAACTTTGTTTTAATCTTAGTGGGGTTATTTTTTGGTGGTTTACTATATTGTGGAAATGCAGATTATTTGATCACCTTAGCACAGTGTTTAATATATTATGCAAACCCTAGAAATTCACTTGAATTTGTAGCCAAGATAAGAGGGTTAGATGAAATTTATACAACACTAAAAGTGTGGACTAAGTAATCCAGAGAAAGTTTTAGGGTTCATTATCATTTGAAAAATCCCTATTTCTCCTTTCCACTTTGTCAGGTAAAACAGAGTCTGGAAAAGAAGATGAGGAAATGCGTCACCTGACCAGCAAAACTGCATTTGGACCACACAAGGTGAGTCACACCAAAAAGGGACAGAAATTACAGGGAGAGAAAGAAATCGGCCAGGGCAATCTTCCACAAGGGCAAAGGTTCCTTGGGGACAGTTCTGAAAAGACATACAACCAAATGAATTTGGTTTGGGGGGTCAGTGTTCTTATAACACAGGGATGCTTCATTGCAGGCAAGCAGTATATTACTCAAAAAAGAGGAAAAAAGCAGAAAATGAAGAGCTACTCACTATTAATTTTTCAGTATCCTGTTCATTTAAAGCATTCTATAAAAGAATCAAGCACATCAAATATTGTCACAATGAAAGTACCCAGCAGATTTCTAATCCATGCCATCGCTACCATCCTAGCTATCATTGACATGAATTTGTACTTCGCTCCACTTAGGAAACGCACATTCCTTATGAAAACAAGAAGTGATTCTAAAAACAATTTGAATTAATGGTGTTGTTAGGGTTTCTTTTCCTTTTCCTTCCCTTTTGAATTTTCTTTGACCTTCACAGAATCAAAATATGCATTGAGAAACCCAAGGAATAATGGTTGAAACAGATAAGATTAGGAAACAGGATCTATATCAGACAGGGCACTTGGGGTAGATGCTCTTTTGAGAACATTATCCTACATGTCCACATTCCGTTCCTTAATCGAGATTCACATTAGTTATACACCTAGACATCTTTATGTTGGAATATTGTTTTTTTATGTACGCCTGTCTCTTCCTCTTCCAAATAAGTTCAAATGTGAAATATACTCATGATTATATATACAGATTTGTGTCTATCTACATGCACTCTACTTGATTTTCAGTGTAGCCATGTGGGGAAAAGGAGCTGCTGAAATTCCACAATAGCATCTTATCTCCTCTTTCAACTTCTACAAGAATCTCAGCTCAGTTTCAGAGCATTTTCTGGCCAGAAAAGGGTTCAAAAAAGATTTAGGCCACCCTGAGTCCTAAAACCTTCATTTAAGTACTCAACACCCCCGGCCATTCCCAAAACTTTGGAAGGGTTAGAAGTGTACAATATTTATTAAGAATGGATATCATAGCTTTCATCATAAAACAAGATTAACTCTCCTCCTAAATATAGTACCTTGCTATCATTCACTTCTTTGTATATGCCCGCTAAGTTCAGGTGAGGTAGAATCCCCAAAGGGTCTCTTAATTGCATGCAATAGAGATATTTCACAATGAAAGGGAAAAAGAGGGTCAAAGAGTTACTTACGATGATTTCCATTGTATCTTTCTCACTCAGTGCATCCTACAATGGAAACAAAGGGTATTAGATCAACTTTCTCATAGGATGGGTCCCCAGGCAGCATGCTTTAAGATGGGTGGATTCCAATCACTTCCCTTTCTGAGCTGGGGAATTCTGGGAGTTGTAGCCCACACATCTTAATATTGCTGAAGTTGAGATATACTTCGCTAGAGGGGGAGAAACTGTCCGCAGGCCCCCTCCTCCTGGCAACCATTCTTGAACCAAGTAATTCAAATCAAGTAACATATAAGATGCCGGGACCTATGATTCCAATGGGAATTAAATTAGGAAACGTTGTGACTACCTCCACACCTTCCAACTACACTTTTGAAAACCCGTAGGTTGTGTGGCGCGAAGGAAGATAGGAGGGACCTATCCCTGATGTTTTTCCCGCCTCCCTCTGGCCCCCGTGCCCAATCAGTTGGCAGCAAGAAGGTGGCGGGGAGAAGCGGGGGACAGCTGGCTGGCCGGGCGCTCGGCTCGCCTTGCCTTGTCATGCGTGCTGATGCCAGTACTGGGCCGCGGATCATTTTGTGATGCTGGTACCGGGCCGTGGCACAAAAAAGTTTGGGGGCCACTGACCTACAAGGTCCCTTCCAACTCTGGTATTCTGTATTCTGTACTTACTAGAACTTTGTTCATCATTTCATTGCCATTTTCCTACAAGGGAAATGAAAGATATCAGTCTGATGCTCTCATAAAACCGCACATGACTTCTCCAACTGTTCCATTACTAGACATCACACATATGAATGGCTGCATTTTTCCAAACAGGAAACACACATTTCTTGCTACAAGAGGGAGCAAGCGACAGGGGCCAAATCCCCAAACTGGAATTAATGGTCTTCTCAGACCTTTTTTATCCTTCCTCTTTTTTCAATAGGGGGATAGATATTTTCCCAAAGGCGAAAAAAATCAGGACATCCAGTATGATATAACTTACTTACTGTAGATTCTCCATCAACATTATTCTTGTTATCCTGAGAAGAAAACAAGAAAACTTTAGGACAGGACTCTTCAAACTTGGCAGCTTTAAAGACTTGTGGACTTCAATTCCCAGAATTCCTCCTCCTGTCATGTTAGCTCAGGAATTCTGGGAGTTGAAGTCCACAAGTCTTAAACTTGCCAAGTTGGAAGGCCCTTGCTTTAGGGTTAGGGTTAGCTCCCTTAGATGTCTACAGCTTATAGTTACATATGCTATACAGATTAAGCACCAATGAACCTCTGAATTTTGCTTTTGATTAAAAGACTAAGGACTCGTAACCCTCTGCATTTTCAACTCCTTGATGAAGAAGTGTTAATTAAAGCATGGGGACAAGTTCAACAAAACACTTGTTTCAGCTGCAGTCACCCCAGCTGAAAGGTGGTTGCAATTTGCAACCCACAAAATTTAGCCTTACCTGCTGTGCAGAAAGAGTAAAAGTCAAAGCAAAGATTAAAAGGAGACGCATCTCCTTGGTTGCTGTTCAGCTCCCACTGTTCCTTGGCGTTCTCCTAAGTGACTTTATTCAGCTCCACTGGCACATTTCAATATCTTAATCCTTAGGCCTCATTGCCCAAACCCAAAGCCTTTATTGTTACTTTATTTACAAGGAAATGTTAAGCTTCCATTGCATCATGCACTGTTATTCCATCGTCCATGCTCAAGGTGAAACTAAGAAGCAGAACTTGTGTCTCTGCCCTCTGTGGAGTCTTAACATCATGCAGGTAACACATCTTCCTGTAATTTTTCCATAGCAAATTGGCTAAAAGAGTGGTCCACACATGGAAACCACATGGCTGAAAGTCTTTGGAGATTCTAAGTCCTCCAGGTCATGGTTGTCCAAAAGGGGCTTTTTCAAGAGGCGAAACTGGACTTTCTTGGTTTTTCTTTGAAGACGTTTTGCTTCTCATCCAAGAAGTTTCTTCAACTCTCAGAGAAGCTAAGTTGGATGAGAAGCGAAACATCTTCAAAGAAAATCAGAAAGTCCAGTTTTGCCTCTTGAAAGATCACCTTTGGATACATGGCTGAAAGTGCTCCATGACCTTGGGCAGGGGTTGGACTAGATGACTTACAAGGTCCCTTCCAACTCTGATTATCTGTTACCTGTATCTGCCTGATCCTACTCCAACATTTAACACTTTGACCTCTTATTTTTATTGTACCTTGAATACAGTTCTAGTTCTGAGGTAAATCAGATTAAAAATAATTAATCAGCCCAACATGGAATCACAGTTGATCACCTTCTTTAAATGTTTTGCCCGACTGACGGGACTTACTCCATGTCTACAAAGCATTGGAAGAGGGCTCATCTTCCTCAATTGGCAACTTTGGTGCAATTTTTTTTTTAAAGCCAAGCCATCACTTGAGACCTTCAAGAAGAGATTGGACTGCCATTTGTCAGAAATGGTGTAGGGTCTTCCGCTTGGATGGGGGGGTTGGACTAGATGACCTATAAAGTCTCTTCCAACACTTATTATCTATTATCTGTTATATCTAATCTCTCCACTTGCATCTTCTGGCTAGGAAGAAAGAGGGAAACATTCTCTCAAAGTTCTCCACAGAAAATGATAAGACCAACAAGAGTTATTTTGACCATTAGTAAGCACTTCATATTTATTCTATTGGGATTCTTCAGACATATTCTTCAGTTATTATTAAATGGGGTTTCAATCTCTACTAGGAATTGAACGCATGGACAATTGCCTTTTAAATGACCATGTACAGCACATTTGTTTAAGGAGTCTATCCACGTTCTGGTGCTCAGCCTTGTAACAGAGAGTGCGAAACTTTCGAAGAAGCTCTGGTGAACCGCCACATCTGAAAGGCCCCAAATAGGATGAAGCCAGTCATAGAGTCCTCCTAGTAGTTAAGGTAACTAAAGCCACCACACAGGATACTCAGTGTGTAAAAATAGAGAACCCCGCTCCCCTCCTTCCAAGAGTGGATGGAAGCCATATGAAAGACATGTGGGGAGTGAGGGAAATGACGTGGGCCAGGCTGAATTAGACCACTAGAGCTGAGGTGGCCGAGTGTGGGTGTGAACATGGAGTATGTGTGTGTGTGTCTGTGTGCAGGTGTGCGTGTGGGAGGCCACAATGAGGCATCAGAAGAGGCGGTTGGACATTCCGAGTCACCAGGTGCTCCCTCAGAGAGTGAAGAAAATCTGCCCCGAGACAAGAGAAAGCCCGCCAAAACTGAGGTAAATGGATTCGACCAATCAAGGCCGCTGACATCACCTACGAGCTGTATAAATACCGCTTGTCAGGGGATGCTGTGTTTCCTTGTTTTGAGACACCTGCAAGGAAAGGTGGCAATTTTGCTCATCTTGCTGAGTCCCACAAGCATCAAAATAGGATGCAAAATTTGGTTCCCCTCAGCTTCGGAGGGAATTCTCGGGTCAAAGAGTCTCCAGGCCTCATTTTTGCAGCTTTGTTTTCGGGAGTTAAAAAACACATTTAACAATTAAATAAAATAGCCCAATGTGGCTTAGGCAGCCAGGTAAACATGGCTTGGGGAGTGAACGATATGACAGTGCCCATCTTGGCTCTTTCTTTTGGTCACTTATATGTCAACTGCAGTTCCCCCCCCCAAAAAAAGCCAAATTAATGTAAGCATTTAATCTTTATTAAAATCTTTATGTGGACTACACCAATCCAGCAGCAGGACACAGAGTCCCCTGGAACGCCTCAAGAGAGAAAAATGGAAGGTCACTGCCAGCACTGCCCTCTTTCCCCCCGTGCTTAGCATTGGATATAAGAAAGGGCCACGTCTCCGTCGATCTGGAGGGTGTTGATCTGTGGGAAGTTGTGGTAACGATGGGCGTAGTTGAAGAAAGGCTGGCCGTTGACATAAACCTTGAATCGGTGGTTGCCGCAGCGGATTGAGAGCTGGGAAGAGAAGAAAGATGTTAGTGGGGTTGAAACAGCACATCTGGATCAACTTCGGTCCTGGAGCCTGCATCGAAATCAGAAGACACTCACAATACCATAAGGAGTGGAGCTTTATTTATGGGTGTGTGTGTGTGTGCAACTGTTACCCTTTTTTCTCCTCTCTCCTAATGCATCAAGAGCAACGTGAAGACAATTTTCCAGGAGAGAAGTGAAAACGGGATTCTGAATGGCATTTTGGAGAGGCAGTTCCACTCTTATCCACAATTACAGATTAACAGAGTTAGAAGGGACCTTGTAAGTCATCTAGTCCAACCTCCCACCCAAGCAGACCCTATACCATTTCTGACAGATGGCAGTCCGGTCTCTTCTTGAAAGCCTCCAGGGATGAAACTTCCACAGTTTCTGCAGGCAACTTCTGTTCCATGGGTGGATTGTCCTCACTGTCAGAAAATTTATCCTTATTTCTAGAATCTCTCCTTGTTCAGTTTCCATCCATTATTCCTTGTCTGGCCTTCGGATGCTTTGGAAAATAGCTTGACCCCCTTCCTCCTCTCTGTGGCAGCCCCTCAAATATTGGAAGATGCTCTCCTGTCTCCCCTCGTCCTTCTCTTCCCTAGACTAGCCAGGCCCAGTTCCTGCAACGGTTCTTCATATGTTTTAGTCTCCAGTCCCCTAATCGTCCTGGTTGCTCTTCTCTGCACTCTTTCCAGAGTCTCAACATCTTTTTTGGTGACCAAAACCACACTACGTTGGGCGATTCATCCCAACATCCTTCCAGAGCAAGGGTCTTCCAACTTGGCAAGTTTAAGGCTTGTGGACTTCAACTCCCAGAATTCCTGAGCTAACATGACCGGAGGAAAAATTCTGGGGGTTGAAGTCCACAAGTCTTAAAGCTGTCAAGTTTGAAGACCCCCGTTCCAAAGGTTCAGATTTCAATGCCTCATGACTGTGCTTGCTGGGAATTATGGGAGATGGAGCCTTACACCTCTGGAGGCATGACACTGGATCTTCTCTTCTCCAGTACCAGCCTGCTTGCCTTCTCACCGGTCTAGCTCTTTGCTGGAATCCAGAGATATCTCCGTGAGCCAGATAAAATAGGAACCAAGCATCACTTGCTTAGCTGTGGCTGCCATGTTGACTTTTTTGAACCTCTGTGCTTGACGGGACTCTCCTCTGTGCTGGAATCAAAGCCAACTGACCTCAAAGTACTGTCCAGGTTGGAAAGGGTTAAAGGGCAGCTCCCGTTCCTCAGGACCCCATCTGCCATTCAGAAAACTGTTGCGCACTACGGTTTGTTCTTGCCTGCGTGGATTGATGTGCAGGGCGATATCCTCTCCAGCATTAAGATTGATGTGGAACCTTGGAAAGAGGAAAAAAAAGCAAACATAAAGACTATTGAACAAAATGAAGGGAAATCTGATTATTCCCTTGTCTCCCTGCTGGAAGCTCCCACGGGTAAAGGAAAAAAACAGCTCTTGTTCTCCATTCTAAATATTGTTTATTGGTAGACTGCTGCTGAATGTGTAAGCTCATGTAGCATTTTAGGCATTTATTCGTTATATTTAACTCCTGCCTCATCCAAATCAGCTCTCGGTGGGCTATAAATGAAGCACACAAATGCGGGGAAAACCCCACATATTCAACAGCAGTCTAGCAGCGAACAGCATTCTTTTTATCAGGGCTACCCAAATTTGGGAACTGTAAGACTTGTGGATTTCAACTCCCCAAATTCTCCAGCCAGCTATGTCCACGAGTCTTAAAGTTGCCAAGTTTGGAGACCTCTGCTTTTGATGAACGACAGCCGGTCCCTGCTTTATGACAGTTCAAGTCCTAACCATTCTTTAAAAGGATCCTCAAACTCTTTATCTGGTCCATCTCTTCATGAAGTTTGGGATTCTCCATGTTGGGAACCCTGCCATAAGCTAGCAGACCTTGCTCCTCCTTGTGGCAATGAATTCCACAGGTGATGTGTGAGCTTGTGCTTTTACTACTCTTAGCCTCCTTGCCCTCTGGGCTGTCCCCTGCAGATGTGCAGAGATGAAAAAAAAATCAGAGAAAGTAGATGAACTGGGAAAGGTCTAACACGAGTGTTTTGTTGTGCCAAAGCCAGAATCCTGGTGTCTAACTTGCAGGAGGGAGCAAGTCGGTGCCAGGGACAGGCTGGCAGGGTGAGGCTGGTAGCCCTGATTGCAGAAAGGCAGTGATGCCCAATTGTGAGAGCAATTCCATTCCTCTGCCTGAATCCCCAAATGCACGCTGAGAAAGGGAGCAGAGACCTGTCGAAGTTCATTGGAATAGAGCCGCGTACTATGATGGTCCTCTTGGCTCCCAGGCCTCCAGAGATGTTGCCTGTGTAGGGCACCGGCTGAAATAAGACACAAATCCACGTTACGCTCAACGCCCGTTCCCTACACCACCTGACTGTGTTGCCCTGCTGAGGTAGCTGCAATCCAGTCGATCTTGAGTTGTCAAGCGAGGGCTCCATCTTATGGCGCAGAAGGCAGCTTGCAGGAGCTTATCTTGGATGGATTTTTCCTGCCTTCCTCAGTGGTTTCAAGCATATCTGCCTTCAAACCAGACAAGTAATTTTTGGCCTCAGAAGACAGATACGTTCAAATGGTTTATTTGCACAGCAGAATGAGGTCAAAATAATCAAGATGGCAGCCATCAAAGCCCAACCTGTTGGGCAACAATATTTACAGCCTTACTGGGCATAGCTTAGTGTAGTACGATAACTTTGAAATTAGATGTCTATGTACAAATATAAAGGAACTAATTAAGCTTAATTGCACACTTGCTTTGCATTTTGTCCAAATAACACAAAAACTCTAGAAAACTCATATTTTGAGTGGCTTGAACTCAATTTTATGACAGAGTTCCAAGCCAAAGAGCAGGAAATACAAGCCGCCTTCAATTCCACCTGAACATAGGTAATCCTCAATTTATGACCACAGGTGGGCCCAAAATTTATGTTGCTAAACAAGACATTTGTAAAGAGACTTTTGCCCCATCCTATAACCTTTCTTGCCACGGTTGTTAAAGGAACCACTGCAGTTGTTAAGTTAATATAACACAACAATGGTTCAGTGAATCTGGCATCCCTATTGACTTTGCTTGTCAGAAGGTTGAAAAAGTTGGTCACATGACCCTGGGACGCTGCAACCATCACAACTGTGATCAACTGCCGAGGGTCTGAATTTTGATCACGTGACCATAGGGATGCTACAATGGTTGTGTGATGACCCAGGGCGTGGCACAAAGGCAACACAGTTAGATAATCAGTAGGAGTCCCTTTATTAGCTCCAACTTTGCCCCCGATGTTCAGGTTACCTTCTGGCTGGAGAAAATCTCTCCCAGGAACAGCCTTTGGCTGCAGGGAAACAAGTCTCTCCTGCTCTGCCCAGCCGGACTTTGCCCTTCCCCAGTTTCCTCCACAGCCAACAGAGCCACACTCCCGCTCCCTGTCAGCTGTTCGTCTTCCTTCTCAGATTCAGTCTCCAACAGGGGCATGACAGGTGATAAGTGTGAAAAATGGTCATAGGTCCCCTTTTTCAGTGCCGTTGAACTTCGAATGGTCACTAAATGAACTGTTGTAAGTCAAGGACTACCTGTACACACACACACATGCACACACAAACTCCCCACCTCCTGGTTTATGTCACATCCTGCAAATTCAGGAGGAATAGGCTGGGTTAGAAAGTCTTTTGGTACCTACTGGATGGTAGACTGCAGGGGACTGCATCATCTGGAGGGAGAAAAATCCAAAGAGACTTTTGTTAACTCCATGTTATTTCTCCTAAAATCCCTAGCCCTGAATTTCCTTGTGCACTGCCCCCTTTTTCCCCCTTCTGAGTACTTACGGGAAGACATTGTGGTGGCCCATATCCAGGGTTTGGCATCATATCCTAAAAGGTAGGAAGACAACCATGGCTGAGTTTGTGTGGCATATTCACCCAAGGTCAGTTGAAGCCTTCACGGGTGCCTTTGTACCATTTGTGCAACTCAGTTACTTTTAACTTGCATGGGTTCTGGAGAGATGCGTGGGCATCTTCTAAGCCCTTGGAGATGAGACCATGCAACATAAAGTTGCCAAGTTTCAGAAATTCTGTTTTATGGACCTCTACAAGGGACTTTGGCCTGGGAGAAATTCACTCCTTCTTAAGCTTGCTGATATCAATATCATTCTTGGATGGTTATTTTTGCAAGCATGCATTTGTTGTGGTTAGCCAGCAGCAGGTGCAGATGGCTGAGGAGAGCGAGGACTCAGATGAGGGGCCAGGACCATCAGGGAGTGGACTGCTGCCTTCAGAGATTGTGGGGGGTGGCAGCAGTGACGAGGAGGTTCCCGAGGAGCCTGTGCCAAGTGCACGTGTGCGCCGGATTGCTCATAGGAAAGAGCAGTTACAACAGCAGGGGTGACTCTGGAGTAAGGCTGCAAGGTAATGGCCTCTCCTTCAAGAAGATAAAAGCCAGCTGTGAAACGAACGTACTTTGCAGAAAGCAAAAACGTTTTGAAACTCCAGCCTCGTGGACATTCCAGTATCCTGAGTTTGTATTTGAAGATTCTTGTATTGCAAATTATTTCTTGTCTGTTATCTTTTGGCAAGTCTCTCACAGTTTGGCAAGGCTTGTACTTATCACAGCTAATTATTTTGTAAAAGCATTACAAGGTTTCTGTTCCTTTTGGATTGTGTTTGATTTGTCAGAAAAGGGCGTAAGTCAGAACAGCATTGATGTAAGCCATATCAGTTGAGGACCCAGAGGGACAGCCATTCTTAGGAGTCAAGAAGAGTGGCCGGAGAAAGAGAATCTGGGATTGAACCAACCCAGAATCTATTCTCAAAGAGAGATCAAAGATCTGAAGGTGCCAACTTGTCCATAGCAAACCCCTTACCCCAGGGGTCCCCAAACTTGGCAACTTTAAGACTTGTGGATTTCAACTTCCAGAATTCGCTAGCCAGCTATGCTGGCTGGAGCATTCTGGGAGTTGAAGTCCACAAGTCTTAAAGTTGCCAAGTTTGGAGACCTCTGCCTTACCATGTTCCCCATCGTTGGTCTTCCCATCACGGTCAGAGATTGTAATTCCAGGTCTCCATCAGCACTCACGACCTGCACACTTTGTGGGGGCATTCTGTGCCCATAGCTACAGAAGAAGTTTCTGTTCACCAGGATCTGTCAGAGAGCAAAGCCAAAGGGATCAATGCTCAGTTGGGATCACCCATTTTCGTTGCAGAAAAAAACTGTTTATTCTTGCCAGGAACACATCCCACTCCAGAGCTGAGCAGGGTTGGCCACAGAGGAGATTAAAAAGGATCAGAATGTGGACCTGTAAAAAGGGGCAGCTCTTTATTTCACCGATAATCTTTTCTCCCCACTAGACCAAAATGTTTTCCTTCAGCTAAGGTTGTCCTCATTAGTCACAGTTTGCAGTTATGACAGTGACGAAGTAGTAACTTTGCCACCAATCCTGTAGTTACAACCATCACCCACAGGTCTATAAAGCATAAGAAAAGCTGAGTTCTGATCTCAAACAGTCTGTCAACTCATAAAATATTTCCATGGTCTTTTTAGAGATGCCAACAGAAAGGGAGCGGGGAGCAGTGCGGCAGCCTGCAAAACTGAAAATGCATTCCATAAATGTTTTCAAAGATAGTAACTTGGTGACCGAAATTTCTGCTGCGCAAAATTCTAACTGGAGAGCATGATTGATGACTCTGGACTATGGAGGTGTCCCATTGGAGAATATGAATTATGATACACCCAGGGGGTGGAGGGAAAACCAGGGTCAAGGGTGACAATGAATGATGTGCCTCAGAGTCGGCTACATCCAGGCAGTGCCAGCATGTTAACTCCCAATAAATCCTTTGTAAGTTTTAGAAGTTTGACTCGAGACTCATGATTTAAATGGAGGGAACTGCCGGAATCCTGACAGCTAGCCATCTCTGAGAC